AAAAAAAAAAAAAAAAAAAAACTATATATTGCTCAGTTATAGCTTGAAGCCAACCTCACACTTGTGTATATCATCTCATTCAGACTAGTTAGCTTCAGAGGTGAGTCAAGTGTACCTGATATCGGTCCTTCTACTCCAAACTAGTAACGCAAACCTATATATTTAACAAAACTAGAATTTGGGTCCACTATTGTGTAAGCCTTTTGTAAGCCTTACTATATCTGTTTCTAAACACTTTATGCTCATCAACTTTCGAACAACTGCATGCAGTCTTTCGTTAAACCTTTGTTTGATGCTGAAACTTATTAGCTATTTCAGTCATCTACAAGCTAGCTTAACTAGACTGTGTTCTCTTTCAAGAACTTACATACTTAAGAACTTTGTGCTTTAGCTTATCTAATCACTGTGATACGTAAAATCTTCATCAAGCCTCTTGAATTCTTACCGTTGAACTTTCTTCATTTCTTTTCCTGTATTTTTTGCTAAAAGCTTTGAACCTTTCATTGATTCCTGGCATCTCACAAAAGACCTCGAATTCAGTGCGTTCAAACTGCATTTAAAATTAAAACAGAACAGACAAGGATTTTTTAAGAATATAATTCAAGTAAACATCAATCATTCAGAATAACATAGATTCAATGATTAATATGAAACCAGTGGCGGAGCCAGGGGGATGCGAGGGGAGGCGCTCACCCCCTAAAATTTGAAAATTTTGTAAATTGGTATATAAAAAATTATTTAGCCTTCTCTGAACTTTGAAACTTTTAGTATTTTGCCCCTCTAAAAAAATTTCTGCCTCCGCCCCTGTATGAAACCATTTTTTTTTCCCACAAATAAACTATTATACTATAGAGAAATAAGCTCATTCATTATTACAACACAAAAAGCAGATCCTAAACAGTAGAACCTCCAGAAAATCCTCAAAATAACATACAAGAAAACTGCATAACAAAACATAGAGCAGTTTCTGGAGAAAAATTTTGCTGCAGCCCTAGGCCTGGAGAGTAAGAGGGAAGGTGGAAACTCAGCTGCAAGCTCAAAGGCCAATCATCTAGTCATGGGAGCTTCTTTTTTATTTTATTTATTTTTAATCAACTCATGGGAACTTCCTTTAAGCTTGTACGTTACTACCTTTCATCCTTCACTCAGTTTGTAATTTTTAAAGCAGAGTGGAAATATAGGAGATTTAATTATGGAGGAATTTCTGCACTATAGTGCCAATCCACCTCCTTGAAATGAGATGGACAAACAAAAAAGACTTGGAAACCATATAAAGAACTAACAGGGAGACAATTGAAACTCCAGGACGTTGTGAGTATGGAGATTCTACTCAAACCAGCACCATAGCCAAACACCAACCACATATTCTGTATAAACATACTCACAGGTCATATGCTAACGTGATAGAAAAACCATAATACCATCCCTGAAGTAGCTCCCACACCACTTTTTTTATAGTCATCAGCCAAAGACTAACTTAAGAGAAAGTGAATGTAAGCTGAACGACATGCATGTACCTTTACATGCTTCTAATGATGATTTATGTTATAAACAGATTATGTTATGCATGATCTTGTATATATTTAGGTGAGTGTTATGTTTTGGTTTAACGTGTTATGGATCTCTAATGAGAATGGTGGACCTCTACGCAGTGGAGATGCACTAAGATTAGCTTCATTACTAGAGTGTGAGTACATGCACACTTGAGGACAGTGGACTCCACAGCCATTTAGTTTTTACTTATTGATTGTTTTTGGTGTTTATGTGTGCACTCTTTTTGTCTAAGTCTCATTTATATTAAGACTAATCCTGATTCCTGCATGCTATAGCTAATTATGAAATGCATGATAACCTATTATGTTGATGTACACCATGTCATGTTTAACTTCTTTTTATGCCTAATTTTGTTATGAAATGCTTATGCTAACAGTCATGACTTGATCTGTACATTGCTAATTATCTAAAGTATATGTAAGAGAAATCTGTCGTGGGCATTTCTATTCTCTTCTAAATTCAGTAGGTTGTTTTTAGCATGTATTAAAATTGACTAATAACTATATAATTTTAATGGCTCAGTTATAGCTTGAAGCCAAGCTCACCATTGTGTGTATCATCTCATTTCAGACTAGCCAGCTTAAGAGGTGTGTCAAGTGTAGCTGACATCGATCCTAGTACTCCAGATTAGTAATGCAAACCTGTATATTTACCAAACCTAGAATTTGGATCCATCATTTTGTAGGCCTTTTGTATTTAATTAAGCTTTACCATATTAGTTTGTAAACTCATTATGCTCATCTACTTACCAGCTACATGCAGTCTTTTGTTAAACCTTTGTTTGATGGTGAAACTTACTAGCTATTTCAGTCATGTACAAGCGAGCTTAACTAGATTGTTCTCTCTTTCAAGAACTTACATACAAATATTTATAGCTATATGTGATTCCAAACTCATGCTTTACGGCTTTAGCTTACCTAATTACTGTTATTCTAGCGCAAAGCTTTTCCTATGTAGTGTGTACTACTCTGATTTTAAATGCTAAAATCTACCGTACCAAATTTTGCTATAAGTGCTGTATGAACCTTAGCTGCCCTGTTTTTACCAAAGTACTAGTGTTAGCTAAGGCTTTGCAAGGTCATTTTAAAAATCTTCCTTACTTAAATTACAAAACATTCTAATGGAATATCACATCCATTTTGATCGTATATATGCGTGCTGAGGTTTTGTTTGTCAAACTCATAAAAAAGGACTACTAATTACTAAAGGGTCAGTGCTTAAACAAGTATCACAAAATATGCAGTTCTCCAATAGACCAAATTCATCAAATAATGGAGTATTTATTAACTATTACCTATATTAATGCCCATAATCTGTTTGCAATTACAATGCATTCCTATAGAGTTATATATTGAGATTGAGAGAGAAAAAACATCCAAAGTTGTCATAAGCAGAGTATGTTCATAATCATCTCCTAATAATTGAATCAATTTAAGCAATTGGACATTAATTCTCTCAATCAAAGCAACAACACAGTTAAGAGCATCTCCAAAAAATTAAAAAAGAGAGGCTCAACTCAAGTTCACTCCTTTCCTGATAATAGAAAATTAAGTAAGATTCAATATTCAACCAACAAAAAAATAAAACACACAGTAGAATAACTGAAGAAATGACTAAGAAAAATGATGAAAACAACAAATTAAGCATGTATATATTCAAATTAAGCAAAAAGAGCCCTTGTTGGACGGATGATGTCAACAAAACGTTACTCTCCGTTAAAATTGCTTAAATGCCATGATTTCGGAATGAGTTTGACAAATTTTTCTGTACGAGGACCCATGAAGCTAAGGCGCCAACGCCCCCATCGCGAAAAATATGTAACTCCTTCGTTTATTTTTATTATATTTAATTTAATTTTTTAATTTTTATTATATAAATTTTTAATAAAAATTTAATATATTATATGAATAATAATTAATATTTTTTATCAAATAAAAATACTCAATAAAAATTATGTATAAGAATTATTATTTATACATATTATTAAATTTTCATTCAAAATTTATATTTTAAAAGTTAAAAGATCAAATTAAAAATTTACTAAAAGGTGGAGGAGGGAGTAACATGTAAAAGTAAATTCTTCATTTCTTCTCATATATTTAATGGCTAAATTTTATAGTTGATCATGAATTATAGGGTTTGTACCAATTTAGTATGCAGTCTTAGTGTTTTTCTTCTGCAGTCAAAAAAGAAAATTCCAGTCACACCTTATATAAAAATGTAAATTCATTATAAAATTTTTTAATTTTTATTTATATAATTTATTAAATTTTTATTTAAAATTTGTATTTAAAAAATTAAAAAGTCAAACTAAATTTATTAAAAATAAATAAAAATAATATAAAATAATTAATTTTAATTATTGTTTTACACAGGCTTCCCTAATTATATTTAGTTTTTGAAATTAAGTCAAATAAAAATACTAATAAAATTCAATAAAATCATATGATTTAAATAGATTTAAGTTTTATCTCAATATTATATAGAAAGATATAAATATATATACATATAAATCTTAAAGTTAAAAAAGAACTACTTAATAGAAATATCTAAAAAATTATTATAATAGATAATCTCTTTTTTATTTTGTTTAAAAAATTCTAACTCTATAAATACTAAATTCACAGAGTAACTCATCGGCTGGCACTATATCCCAAGTGTCGTCAGTTTGTGCAAATCATTTTTCTCTATATCCCAAAAAGTGTGAAGGATTTTGTTATATAGGGGCGCACAGCTTCTGCTACCTTCAAAACATGATGAAAGAACTTGTTGGCATTGGCTTTGAATGAAGCATGAAAAGAAATCTGGCACAAGATGATTTGGTTCTGCCGAGCTATACCTAACCTAGCTGAGCATAGTTTTCTATGTTGGCTAGGTATACTAAACAAGCTGACCACAAAGGCTAGACTGGCTGGCATTCCATTTTATACTTATTACTGTAAACGCTTAATAATAGATTTAAAATGTTTCGAAAGGTTCAGGGTAGATAAACCTTTTTCACAACTAATTATCTTTTAGTTTAAGTAGAAAGAATTTAATTTTTTTTTAAGTAAACTCTTAAATTTAAATAATATGAATAAAGAAACAAGTACTAAAAGACTCTTTCTTTATGAGTTTTAATGTGACTTAATTTTAAATTAATAAATATTTAATGTAACTTTCAATATTAAAATTTAGTAAAAAAATAAACCCTTTTCAAAGACCCAAGTAGTCTCTTAGCATTTTTTTTTCTCTTTTTTTTTTTTTTAACAAGGGCAATCATTTACAAAACATTTTGGAGACTCCGATTGATATAGTTTCAGTTCAATTTTACAATATACTCATAAAAAATTTTTGATTATTTTTTATCTAAAATTAAAAATAGACCAGCTTAAAAATACAAGCAAACACAAAATATATAAGAATTAATTAAATTAATTGTACTTATATTATAATAACTAAATTATATAAATCTTAAAAATATATTAAACCAAAAGTAATATCAACAATTTATTAAACCAAAAATTTTTCCTATGGGAAAGAGAAGGGGGAGCTGGGGTCAAATTTTAAATGTTAAAATATCAATTTGGTTCTTTAATTTTTAAATTTTATTAAATTTATTTTTTAATTTTAAAAAATATTAAAATTATTCTTAAACTTTAATTTTTAGTATAAAAA